AATCAATATTTAAAATTTTATTAAAAATTTTAAAATATGCAGGCAAATTTGCCTGTGTTACAATCTAAGGGATAATCTTGTAGTTAATAGATTTTGTTTACAAAACTTGAATATAAAAAACTATTGTATTTACATATTTATTTATTAATCTATCTTTATATAACAATTGTAACAGATTAAAATGAAAATTTTCTATTTTTTAAAAAAAATTTAAAGGGTTTTTTTAGTATTAGGTTAGAGTTATTAATAAAAGATATATGTGGGTTTTATAAGCTTTAAAAGTGAGCAAGAGAAGTCCCCTGTTTCATTTTAATCTGCGACAATTATTAACTATTGCCATTAAATTTTACACCCACAATTTATACATATGCGAGATTTAATATATAGCTTTAATTTATTTTATACTAATTAAAACTTATAACATCGTATTCAAACTATAATATAGTTTTTAATTAGGGATTATACAAAAGTAATAGCATTGTATCTAAACAATAATATAGTTTTTAATCAGACTATTCAAAAATTATAAATCTGTATTTAAAGTAGGTTTCGTCTTTTGTCATTTTGCAAAAGGGTTTTGCCTAACAACATTATTTGCTAGCATAAAATCTAAATAATATATTATATATGTAATGCATTTTGAATCTGAAGTTTTTATTGTACTTTTTAAATTACTGTAATTGTTAAATAATTACTTACCACGCAAAAATCCACGAAATTTTTTTAAACTCCTTATTTTTTATAATACCGTATTATCTATTAAATACTAATTTATTAGTATAGCATCTATTATTCCATTAGATTTGTCAGTTGGCTAACCAAACAATGAAATCTTTAGTTTTTAACTACACTTATAAAATTTGAAGGAAGAAATCTTGCTAATTCCCTATTGATTTTCAAAAATCAAGGTTATTTTTAAATTTTACAAATTAATAGAATTCTAAAATAGTCTTACAATGTTTAATTAACCAGATCATTATTGAGATCCCTTACTCAAAGTTCGAAAACACATAGATAATATTATACGTATTATAATAGAAATATCATATGCGTTTTTAAAATCTCAATTTCTAGATTCCAGTATCGGTATGATTTATATTTGCTAATTACAGTAATTTAAATAGTGATACCCCGGCCCAACAGCCGAGTCGATGGGCGGTCAACCATCAGCCTGCACCTTTGTGGGCCGGGCCGGTTGATAAAAGAAGTGTTAGAATCATTTCTCTTCTAAGCATAGTTTCAGGCTAGAAATTGAATAAAAATCGGCTAGTCGTTTATAATAATGTAAGAGAAGTTGGCAAATATAATATAAGGATCAGAAATATTCGGTGGCATAGACAATCAATCGACATAAAATACTAACGTGCCGAAATTTTCTCAAGAACAAAAGAATAAAAATTACAGATTATTTCTGGGACACCTGAAGAATTTTCAGATGACCAAAATATCCTTTGTTTCATTTGGTAAATTACCTAACTTCTCGGAAACTATATCGCTGTCTCCGGACATTCAGTCCAAAGACAGCAATGTAATTTCCGGAGAGCTAGATAATTTACCGAATGAAACAGAGGATATTTTGGTCATCTGAAAATTCTTCAGGTGTCCCAGAAATAATGATAATAGCTGTAAATCGTTTAATATCACAAGAATTCAACAAGAAACTACCTGATGGCCTTTTGCACGTTTAATATAGATATGTTGACTGATTTTGATCAGAAAAACATTACACTAGCAAAAAGGTCGCTTTTTTAGGATCGACCCCGGCCCACGATTTTTTCATTGACCCGTATCACTAAATTTGAAAAAGTATACTTTCAAAAAATTTTTTTAAAAAAAAACCATTAGCAGAAAAAGCATAATTTAATACAATTAGCAAGAATAATTCTGGACATCTACAATCTGAAAAAATACTATTCCTGATGGATCGGCGATACCGATCTTGATGGAGTTAAAAAAAAAATTTATTTGAGTACTGTTCCTGATAGTGTTCTAAAAACGAACCCTAATCCTAACTTTTTTTCATTATATAGTATAGTATTTTGGAGGCCCTTTTTAGAACCCAGAATCCTATCAGGAACGGTATGTAAATCGACTTTTTTTTCCCACCAGTACCGACGATCCATCAGGAACGGTATTTTTGCCTACAATCCCCCTAAAATAAAAATTTCCGGGTCCCTCAAAGGCATGTGATCGATAAACAATGTGCTTCGTGCAACATTCACAAACATTAACATAACGTTTAGTGAGATTTAGTTCTAATTCGTTTTTTTTCCTGAAAAAAAAAAACGACAACAATAATATAAATAATAGTTTATGTTGGAAGACATTTGGTCATACTTAGTTTATATACTTATGTTCATATATTGGATTATAGTTTTAAGAAAAGTTTGATTACGCCAATTTTATTCACTGCTAACTTTTGCCCTTTTGCGGTTAGTAGATTTAATGTTAAAAATGGTACCTATGCACATACGTACGTACATACGTACGTACATACGTGCTTAAAATTTTTTAATTGTTTTTTTTTATATATAAAATTGTCGCTTTTTTTTTTATTAGTGATATACTAATACTTTTCCATTTTTTTATTAGTTCTTTAATTTGATCCAATCAGATATTTCTATTAGCATAAACTCGTATCGTGACAAAAATGGAAGAAAAATCCAGCACTGCGGTTTCAGTCCAGCCATTTGGTTCAAGTTTTCATTCACCCGCACTGTTACCTTCTAACACCATTTTTTCTACCGCTTCATCATTATCTACCACTCCTTCTTTATCAACAATAACGGAAAACATACCACCTATCACATCACGTTCAAAAATGTTGAATTTATGGGTTCATGATGAAAAATTTTCAAAACAAGATTTTATTATGAATCCCGATTGCTTTCCGGATGCAAAACCCGGTCAATTATTAGAGATTTATCATTCTACAGAATCTTCTGATATCACAAAACATTTAATTGTTAAAGTCGGTGCGTTCGACAAAGAATATATTGGTAAAGAGAAACCAATTTTACAGGTAATTTTTAAACTTGGAAAAAGGTATTTTATCTGAATTATGATGAATTGATTGGTAAAAATAATTTATGATTGATTGTTATGTTTTATTAAAGGTTTCGCTTGCAAATCATATTGCTCATATTTTTGGTTTTAAAACGAGAACAAATGTTATCGTTCGAGAGGTATATTGAATTCAAAATTTTTATTATTAATTATTTTGATTAAAAGCCTTTTTCTAAATCTTAATTATATTAGGTTGATGTAGAATCAGTTGCTGCTGAATATATTGAATTCTCATTTCGTGATCAATATATTGGTAGAGGTGATATGTGGAGGTTAGCTCGTAGTCTTACTGGAACTTGCGTTTATCTCGGCAAGAGAATAGAGTTTGCTGGATGTATTCGTGCGCAAGTTAAAAAAATTTTTGTTAAAAAACGACAGGTGATTTTGCTATATATTGATATTAATCAATACACATAAAACATAATCATTCACAATTAAGTTTATTTCATTCATTAATATATGTATTAATTAGGTCTCATGTGGATATATAACAGGAGAGACAAAACCAATATTTCGATCAGAATCTGCTAAGTTGTTTATTTTTGTTCAGATGTCTCGAGAAATGTGGGAATTTGATGAAGATGGAGAATTATATTTTGAAAAAGCAATTGAATTTTTCTCGGAGTTATTTAAGTATTGGAAACAGCTAGGAACAAATCATGTAATCTCAATAGTTTTGTTTTCAAGGATATTTTATGATTATGAATATTTGGAAAATGATCCTAAATTAAAGGCAGAAGGCTCTTTGATTAAAGATTATGACGATAGATGGTGTAAAGATTTTTACAAGGTCATAGTGGACTGGGAAACACGATCAGATTGGAGTGGTGTTCTGATGTCTTTAAAGAATGAATTGTTAAATTATCAACCTGCAGTATTGATGAGAAAAAAACAATGTCAAGATGGTTATTATAATGTTCTAGCTGGAAAAAATTCTTATGCCTTTGAGGGCAACGTATTTGAAGCCATTAATCTTGCATTGAATCCATTTGATAAACATTATGTAGATCGAGATTTAATGCGTACGGGTTTATCAATTATAATAGTAACTCCAGGATGTGGAAGATTCGAGGTTGAAAAAAAACTTTTGAGAATAACAACTGAACGAATAGTTGATAACGGGATTGGATTGGATCTTGTATGTTTATCAAAAGCTCCACTTCATGCTGTTCCATTATTCAAATTTAAATCTCAGGAAATATCCAAAGCCCCATTACCTGATTGGTTTGATAAAAAGATGCATAAATGGCAGCAGGCAAAAGATATGTATTTGGATTCGAGGGATCCATTAGACTTTGATGAAAATTCAATGGATGCTAATTATGTATATTATCAAACTCCTGATTGGGTAGAATGTAATTTTTATTCAAGATACCAAGATAAACCTCTTAAACCTGGCAAGTTTGTTCCCAGATGTAGGATGTATGAAATACAGATGATGGGAATCATGGAACATGAAATATCTTCAATATTAATTCCTCATTTAGCAGATAAACAATTGCCTTCAGAAGATGGTGAATTTGATTATGATAAATATGATGATGAAATTTTTACTGATGTGCGATCAAGGTCAAGACAAATAGGTTTTCCATATGGAAATATGCATCAACCTAATGATTTATCGCAACCACGTAGAAGCAATGATGATTTTACAATTTATTCAAAAAATTATTCAAGTGAGCTAACGAGAAGTTTGCCAAAAGGATTATTACCGTTTGGTTTGACATCATCTATTCATCCTGAACAAAATCGACAAACTTCAACAAATTTCAGAAGCCCAAGGCTTTCTGGAAGTAATTTAATTGATTCATCGATTATCAATAGTAGAGAGCCTTTTATGAGATCTCATTTGCATGAAAGCTTTCAAGAAGGAAGTTTTCGAGGTGATCAGCCCGATGAAGACGATGGTCCAGTGACGACTTCTAGCACTGTTGAAGCGATACCCATTAGGTCGACGGCTAGATCAGTGAGGAATTCAATTCCACCATCACCTAAAGGAAGCATTCCGGAATCCAATAAAAGCTCATACACCAGT